CAATCCATACTCTGCTGGAAGGCCGACCAGTACTTGCCTGTGAGTTCCCTGCCCTCTGGATTTCCATTAGGTTAACCCAATGAGAAGCCCTAGCATAAAAACAGACGAACCTGAAAAGATCATGGCATTTATCCCCCAAGTTCCCTCCCTGTGAGGTTGAGCTGTCCTTTACTCAAAGGTTCCTTTCAGTGTGGCTTCCTCTCTCCTTTTGGGTCTGATAACAGCTCTCAGCCCTTATCTCTTCTGTCTTAAGGATGCTTCTACTCACTGGTTACTGCATTAATTCTTGTGGCTTCCCTATCCTGCCAGCCCCTTTGTAAATATCTTTGATTTATCTTAACTTGAGTGTGCCATCTGTGTCCAGTTGGGACCCTGACTGATATTTGTCATACTTCCTACCAATAGCTGTATCAGTAGAAAATAGGAAACTTACATCATTACATCAAAGTGACAGTTTGTACAGAACAGTACAATTTTTGGTGTATCAACATACTGTTACCGGAGAATTGCACGGATGGAGTTTCTCCGTCGCTAGTGGGAGTGAGTTTCTTGGGGCACTGCTGAAATAAGCATTTCTGAAGGCCCCCATCGGGGGATGAGATGTGGTGAAAACCTTTGTTTTCGTGGAGTTATATCCCTCAGTTTCTAAAGTCCCATTTCCCTTAAACCAGTCCTGGAAATTACGCAGCTGTGGATAGAGCAAAGCCAGTGTAGTTTCCTTTCCATGGTGGAGTTAAGTCCAGCATAGCATCAGGCTAATCACGGTCCATTAGTCCATTGTGTGGGGGGTCCACATGGCTGTGGGCCATGTGGGCGAGTGCAGAGCATGAGAACAAACCCCCTGCAACAAGAGTCCCAAGACAGCAAGAGAGAGGAATTTCTTTGTTTAGGAGGTGAAATAGCAAATCTTCCTGTGCTTGCAGTGTCCATGCCTATTCTGGCCAAGGGCTTGTTCCCAGGCGTGATTGACAAGCAGTCACCTTCCCACATCACCCAGACCTTACTGGGCATGGGTCTATTGTCCATTCCCTTCCCCCAGGATCTTCGGGGAACAGAGCTGGAGCGTGTTAAACTAGCTTCCTGGCAAAGCTGTACAAATGGCATGCCTATATACATGGCCTTCCCCTTGTCCTTCCGTTAGTTAATAACTGGGTTATTTATAACGATATCAATACAATATTGTATTGAATGTCAGATTATTATAAAAAATCATTCACTGTGGAGAGAACAGCAAATTTTAAGAATATTCAAAACTCCAATTTCAAAACTGGAATTTTAAACTTTTTCAATTAAATTTCTATTTTCCAAGAATTGGTTAACCACATGTGGTAAAAATCCTTTAAACAGAATGATCATTTGTAACACCCAAATTCAAAAATTTAATAAACCACCCAGTTCATGAACTGGATTTTTAAAAAAGGATAGGAATGAGGGGGGTGGGAGTGCTGAGTTAAGAAAAAGAGGAAATGGAAATATCCAGAAAATTAGTAAAATAATGGCAGCTAAGTTGTGTGAAAATTTTCTAGTAGCAGGAATGGCCCACAGACCTTTAAGAAACATGCCTGATACTCAATTGTAAGATGCTTGCTCAGCTCTCTGTTATCACCAGCCTTTCTTCAAATCTGCTACACACAGGCTTGTGTCAGTGGCATTTAGGGCGGTAAAGGGATTAGGGTAATGTCCAGAAGGGTTGACAAGATACAAAAAGAAAATGGTGGATTTCACTCATAACAGTTGGAATGCAGTGAGGAGATAACTCAAATACAGAAATTGAATTGGTAAAAGGAAGAAAAAGAGT